GCCAAAGTTACATTTTAAGTTTTAATTACTATGCCTAAGTGATTCATTAAACAAAAATGCCTCTGCAAACCCCTTGCCCAGGACAGATAGTTCCTGAAATGCTGGGGGCTACTGTTAAGGGAAATAACAAGCCACATGTTTTTCGTTCCTGTAAAAAGTTTGTTTGACCCATATCACTGATGTGCTTGATCACTTCTGAACAGGACGTTCACAGGATGGAGCTATGCCAGGATATATGCCTGCCCCTGAATGGACCTAATGGGAAATGCAATGAATTGTGGATTTTCCTTCTTAAGCTTATACAAACTATGATTCTGAGCCATTTCCCAGGAACCTGGGTATAGAACTGGTCAGAGCCCATCTATCTAGCTAGTGTTTAATTAAAACTTGCTTCAAATTTGCCTTTAAACTGTTGTACTGGTCTTGTTCTTAATTGGTGGAATTAACATCACCTCTCTCTTACTGCAGACAATCCTGGAAAAAAAACGACATTATAGGGGTTAAGAGTTAGTAATCCTGACAGATGAAGACCAGATCATACTGTCCAGAGGTTGGGGTTTGAGCAGAGTGTACCAGCACCCTTGAAACCCCACTTCTGTGTTGCTCGGATACCTGCTTGAAGGGAATCCCTATAAGCATCATAGCAGGCAGGGAAATAATAGTGATCTGGGCAAGTTAAAAACAAGTCAGTGATGGTTAAAAACTTCCAGAATCTGACAAAGAGATTTGTTTTTCTTACATATTTAGGCACAGTGAAGCTTTGGGAGAAAGGTTTCCAAGTGACAATCATCTCAACAAAGCTTTAGGTATAGACACATCAAAACTCCCTTGTGCAGTGTATCTCTTTAGCAAAGCACTGTAACCTTTACCATAGAATGAGTTCTACTGACGTCAGCATCAGGGCCCAGAGAAGAAGGGCTGTGTTTTTTGTTTGTGGTTGTTTTGTTTTTGTTTTTATTTATTTGAGACAGGGTTTCTGTATGTATCAATGTCTGTCCTGAAACTCAGTCTGTAAGCCAGGTTGGCCTTGAATTTGCAGAGATCCACCTGCCTCTGACTTCTGAGTGCTGGGATTCGAGATGTGCACCGCCACTGCCCTGGTGAAAGAAGGGTTTATAACAAGCATAAAGAAGGCTTCTGTTGTATGAGAGACAAAGCACAGAATTCTGGGGAATTTGATAAAGGCTAGTGGAAGTATTCAGGCATTATGCTGGCATGCCCCCTGTGACCTGGCAGAATGCATTCAGGCTGCTATGACACTAGGTAGTCTGGATTCAGGGGCAAAGGATACTTTAAAAAGAACTGCCTGTACAATGCATTCAAAGGTACTTCCCACTTTCTCTTCTAAGAGGTTCAGTGTGGCTGGATTTATATTGAGGTCTTTGATCCATTTGGACTTAAGTTTTGTGCATGGTGATAGATATAGATCTATCTGAAATTTTCTACATACCACCATCCAGTTATGCCAGCATCAATTATTGAAGATGCTTTCTGTTATCCATTGTATAGTTTTAGCTTTTTTGTTCAAAGGTGTGTGGGTTAATATCAGGGTCTTCTATTTGATTCCATTGGTCTACCTATCTGTTTTTGTGCCAATACCTAGCTGTTTTCATTACTATAGCTCTATAGTGGAGCTTGAATTTAGAGTTGGTGATGCCTCCTGAAGCTCCTTCATTTTACAGGGCTGTTTTGGTTATCCTGGGTTTTTGTTTTTCCATATAAAGTTGAGTATTGTCCTTTCAAGGCCTGTGAAGAATTGTGCTGGGATTTTGATAGGGATTGCATTGCATCTGTAGATTGCTTTTGTTAAGATTACTATGTTTACTTTGTTGATCCTACATATCTAAGAGCATGGAGGATCTTTCCATTTTCTGTTATCTTCTTTAGTTTCTTTCTTTAATGACTCAAAGTTCTTGTCATACAGGTCTTTCACCTGTTTGGTTAGCATTACCCCAAGATATTTTATGTTGTTTGTGGGTATTGTAAAGGGTGATGTTTCTCTGATTTCTTTCTCAGCCTATTTATTGTCTCTCTATATAGTAAGGCTACTGATTTTTTTTAGTTAATCTTGTATCCTGCCACTTTGCTGTAGGAATTTTCTGGTACAATTCTTTGGGTCACTTATGTAACTATCATATCATCTGCAAATAATGAAGTTTGACTTCTTCCTTTCCAATTTATATCCCCTTGATCTCCTTTTGATGTCTTATTGCCCTAGCAAGGACTTCAAGTACAATATTGAAGTGATGTGGAGAGAGTGGATAATCTTATCTTGTTCCTGATTTTAGAGGAATCACATTGAGTTTCTCTCCATTTAGTTTGATGTTGGTTGTTGGTTTGCTGCATATTGCCTTTACTATGTTTAGGTGTGTTCCTGTTATCCCTGATCTCTCCAAGACCTTTATCCTGAAGGAGTATTGAATTTTGTTGAAGGCTTTTTCAGCATCTAGTGAGGTGATCACATGGTTTTTCTTTTTCAGTTTGTTTATATGGTGGATTACAATGATGGATTTTCATATTTTGAACCATCCTGGCATCTCTGGGATGAAGCCTACTTGATCATGGTGCATGATTTCTCTGATGTGATCTTGGATTCGATTTGCCAGTATTTTATTGAGTATTTTCGCATCAATATGATAGAGATTGGTCTGTAGTTCCCTATCTTACTTGTGTCTTTGTGTGGTTTGGGTACCAAGGTATTTGTAGACTCACAAAAAGAGACTGGCAATGATACTTCTGATCATGTTGTATGGAACAATTTGAGGAGTATTGGAATTAGCTCTTCTTTTAATTCTGGTAAAATTCTGCTCTGAAACCATCTGGCCCTGGGTTTTTTTGTTTGGGAGGCTTTTGATGACTGATTCTATTTTATTAGGGGCTCTAGATTTATTTAAATTGCTTATCCTTGATTTAATTTTGGTAATATCTATGCAGAAAATTGTCAATTTCTTTTAAATTTTCCAATTTTGTGGAGTACAGGTTTTCAATGTATGACCTGATGATTACCTGGATTTCCTCAGGATCTGTTGTTATTTCCCCCTTTTCATTTCTGGTTTTGTTGATTTGGATGTTCTCTGCCTGCCTTTTGGTTAGGTTGGATGAAGGTTTGTCTTGTTGATTTTCTCAAAGAACTAACTCTTTGTTTCATTGATTCTTTGTATTGCTTTCTTTGTTTCCACTTTATTGATTTCATCCCTCAATTTGATTATTTCCTGGCATCTACTCCTCTTAGGTGTGTTTGCTTCTTTTTGTTCTAGAGCTTTCAGGAATATTTGTTAATTCTCTAGTGTGATATTCTCCATTTTCTTTATGTGGGCACTTAGTGGTCTGAACTTTCCTCTTATCACTGCTTTTATCATGTCCCATAAATTTAGGTATGCTGTGTCTTCATTTTCATTGAATTATAGGAAGTCTTTTATTTCTTTCTTAACCTAGGAGTGATGCAGTTGAGCATTGTTTAATTTCCATGAGTTTTTAGGCTTTCTGCACTTTGTGTTGTTTCTGAATTCTAACTTTGAACTATGGTGATCCAATAAGATATAGGGAGTTATTCCAAGTTTTTTGTATTTGTTGAGATTTGCTTTATTGTCAAGTACGCAGACAATTTTAGAGAAGGTTCCATGGGGCACTTAGAAGAAGCTTTATTCTTTTGTGTTTGGATGGAATGTTCTATAGATGTCTGTTGAACCCAACAGAGTCATAACTTCTATTAGTTCCTTTGTTTCTTTGTTAAGTTTCTGTCAGTTAGTCCAGTCCAGTGGTGAGAGTGAGCTGTTGAAGTCTCCCACTATAAGTGTGTGAGGTTTTATCTGTGATTTGAGTTTTAGTAATGCTTCTTTTATTAATGTGGGTGCCTTTATATTTGGGGCATTGGTTAATATGCTTCTTAAATGCAACAGGAAACAATAAATTCTTCCTTTAGTAAAAACAAAATAAGGGCATTTGTTATAAGGACACACAGGCATCTTATACTACTGAAGTTAAGAACTTCAACTAGGCCCTAGAAAAATACTGAAAATAAGAACTGAAAGCTGTGGAAATCCAAGAAATACTATTTGAATATACCATCTACTTCTCTTTCTCTTTCTACAGTACAATTGTCTCTTTTCTGTCCTCCTTAGAGGAATGCAATGGCCATTTCCAAATAATGCCTCCTGTCTAGACTGTGACTTTCTTTATTCTTCAGTCTTAATTCTTAGACAGAGAAAGGGCTCATTGGCTCAACTGGATCATGGGCTTACTTGAGACCATACATAGGCAGTCTATTTCCTGCAATCCATCCCAAGGCATTCAAGTAAACATGCACTTATTAGTTCCTGAGGGTTAGAAAGATATGACAAATAATAACCTACCACAAACAGATAGGACCACACAGACCCAGTTCTTCTCTCTCATGCTACAAAATGATAACTCTTCCCTTCTCTTTTAGAATGAAGTAACTGAAGGAGCTTAGAAAAATCTCAAGACATTAGATAAATCAGCTCCTCTCCATGTATAAGTAAGAGTAAGTTGAATGATCTTATCAATAATCCATTTAACTGGTCTTCTCTGTCAAAATATGCAGTAGAGCCAGGCACAATGGAACTTAAAATTGAGGAGGATCTGCCTCAACAAGATGATGGGACAGACTTAGTAGACTTCCTAGGGGAGGACTGTAGGAGGAAAACAGAACTCCACCATTAGCCATGTGACTTATTAGATGTAATAAAAGGGCAGTTTACCACACCGCTAACCACACCCACATGACTAAAGACGTATATGGACATAGGCAGTGAACTACGTCACTAGCCATGCCCACGGGCATGGCTAGGGGCGTTATGGAGGAAGGTATAAAAGACTGAACAACAGAAGTCTCTCTCTCTTTTTCCAGCTTTCTGGCTTCCAGTTTGGTGGCGGAAAACTACTCGCCTCATCTGGGTTACTTGTTTGGTCTTTTGTGAGTAATTTCTACAATAAATACTTATTTTTACTTTCAGTAAGTGTTCCATTTATCGTTGCAGCATCATTTTGGTGTCAGAAGTTCCAGAACCCGGATCCATGTGCCCAGAAAGCAGCTGCTCCTGGGCCCCACCAGGCACACGTGGACTCTCCTTTCGCTAAGTTCCCCACCACTATGTTTGGCAAGGCACGATTCCTGCTGCCGGGAACCAGCACCTTCTACCTGCTGGTAAGGTTAAGTGGTATTCCGAGATTTCTCTCACAGCAACGTGCTCTGCACTGGCAGCCTAATGACTTTGGCCACGTGCTCTTTCACTGGTGGCCTGCTGATTTCGGCCTGAATAAAACTCCACTGGTAACAAACTTAACTGCTTTATACAATGTCAACTAACATTACAATGCAGGATGTTAAGAATTTTCTTGTTTTGTATGGATGGGATATTAGAAAGGGTTGAGGACCTACCTGGAAGGAACTTCCTACCCACGATGATGATTATTAGTTTCATAATCAATATAATTTTGCTAAAGAAATGGTTCAAAAATAGGGCAAAATATGACAAACTTATACAGGTTATACGGTCATCGCAGGATGGTTATGAAATCCTAGTACAAATAATTCAGGAAGTGGAAAATTCCTTGCAGGATAGTAAGGAAGGTTTGGTAGAAAATATTCAGGATATTAAAAATGATAATGTAGGTCTGACAAACAGGTTTAAAGAGATGGAACACAAAATTGAATTACTTTCAGAAAAAAATGTGTTCAACAGACAAAATAGAAAAAATGGAACATAATGTTGAAACGTTTAACCAAAAAACTGTTCCATGTTTGATGATTTCACTAACAAACTACAAAGACTGGAACATAAGATTGAAATGCTAACAGAAAAGATTTGTTCCATGTCTGAGAGCAATGACAAACTGGGCCCAATTAGCCTCGGCAGTGCTTGAAAATTCTTGTCAAATTCAATGGAGAGCTTTATGGAGGCAAGAGGCGAAAGCCTTAGAGATTCAGGAATTAAAGAATGGTCATGAAGCACCCCAAGACAAGATTCTTGGGGAGGGTGCTTATGCTGACCCGCAGGTTCAGTCTGCATATGACGAGCACATGTTATCTTTATGCCATACAGCTGCTTTGAATGCTTTGGATAAGGTTTGTGAAACAGGAGAGATAATGCAACCCTGTACCAAGGTAGTACAGGGTCCAAGGGAAAGGTTCACAAAATTTTTAGAGAGATTGTCCAGAGCAATAGAAGTACAAGTAGCAAATCCAGAATCTCCTTATAGAATCTTTGGCATATGAGAATGCAAATCCACAATGCAAGCAGGCACTTTGACCATTAAAAATAAGATCAGCGCCATTGGAGTAATGGGTCTTATATATAGCGAACCTTGAATGTAGAAGTCAAGATATGGGAGCTTGAGTAGATGGAGCTATTTCTACAGGCTTGAGGAGGCACCAGGATGCCAAATACCCAACCCGTGACGATATAGAGGCCTGGGTAGGGGAGGCAATCTCCAAAAATTTTAACAGACATAAAGATGCCACATGCTTTAACTGTGGTAAAATAGAACATCTTAGTAGGAACTATAGACAATGCATTCCTAGAAATAATGCTTCTACCAGGAATGCATCAAACAGAAGGCCTCAGTCTCCTGGTTTCTGCAGGAGGTGTGAAAAGGGAATAAAATTGGACCAAAGAATGCTGGTCAACTACAGATAGACAAGGTAGACCTTTACCACTGGGAAACTTATCCAGGGACCTCAGGAAGGTCCCGAAACCCAAGATAGTCTGGTCATTCCCAGTGACAGTGGAAGACAACCTCTCCCAGGACAATTAGAAGATCCACTGCCCATTGCAAATAATACGGCACTGGATAATAACATTAGCTCCAGAGGATGAATCAATTATATCAGAAGGAAATACAAAGCATATATTTTGGCAAAATTCTATACAATATCATAGACCCAAGTTACCAGCCAAAGTAAATAATATGGTGATTAATGGCATTTTAGACACCTGAAGTGATGTCACCATCATAAATCAGAAGTCTTGGCCCCTAATTTCACCTTTAAAAGAGGTTAACATTCAATTCTTAGGGATTGTAACCCTATCTCAAGTTAAACAGAGTGTTAGATGGATTGACTTTATTGGGCCAGAAGGACAGAGAGGAAGGTTAAAGCCATATGTTGCAGATATTGCTATAAACCTCTGGGGTCGTGATCTATTACAGCAATGGAATATGCAGATTAACATTCCTCCCATACCCGCTAGGAATTATAGACAAGCTCTTGGTGGTAGAAAGAATATAATAAGGCAGTACAGAAAATAGATGCCAAATGTACAGGCTGTACAGAATCAGGATGCTAGTGCCAAACCTACAGAGCAACCAAAAGCTCTAACCATAAATGGCTAACAGATGAACCTGTCTGGGTGGGTCAATGGCCTATGACATCTGAGAAGTTAGAGGTTTTGGAGAAGTTAGTTCAGGAACAGCTAGATGCTGGAAATATTGAGGAATCAACTAGTGCATGGAATTCACCTTTTTTTGTTGTCAAGAAGAAGTCAGTAAGTGGAGAATGGTTACTGATCTTAGAGCCATCAATAAGGTAATTCAGCCTATTGGGTCTCCACAACCTGGGATGCTGTTACCTTCTCTAATACCTAAGAATTGGCCAATTATAGTTATAGACTTAAAAGATTGCTTCTTCATCATACCATTACAAGAAAACAACAGAGAAAAGTTCGCCTTCACAGTACCTACCTATAATAATTCCTGACTGGTACAGAGATTCCAGTGGAAATTACTGCCTCAAGATATGTTAAAAAGCCCAACTTTGCGTTAGTATTTTGTGCATAAACCTCTAGAAATAATTCGTAAAAAATTTCCACATTCGTTAATATATCATTACATGGATGACAAATTACTGTCTGATTCAAATAAGGATACTTTGGAAAAGATGTTTGAAGTAGTAAAGGAAACTTTGCCTCACTGGGGATTACAGATTGCCCCCAAAAAATACAAAGAGGAGATTCTATTAACTATTTAGGTTATAAAATAGACTCTCAGAAAATTTGACCGCAGAAAGTACAGATCATTACCGGACTTTTAATGATCTTCAAAAACTATTAGGAGAAATCTCTCAATTACAGACAATTATCGGTGTAGAAGGGCATGATTTAAAACACCTGAAAATGGCTTTAAAAGGAGATAAAGACCTAAACAGCCCACAAGTACTATCAGCTGAGGCTGAAAAAGAATTAGAATGGGTAGAAAAGAGAATATTAGAAGCACATGTGGACCGTGTGGATCCAAAGCTGGACTGTATTCTGGTTATTTTACCATCTAGAGAATAACCCTCAGGAATATTAATGCAGAGGGAAGACATCATACTAGAATGGGTATTTCTGCCACATAAACAGAATAAAAAATTGAAAACATATATAGAAAAGGTCTCTGATTTGATATTAAAAGGTAAGTTAAGTCTTCGTCAACTGACTGGGAAAGACCCAGCTGAAATTATTGCACCTTTAACGAATGAGGAAATTTCCTCCTTATGGAAGGATAATGAGTATTGGCAAATAGCTTGCAATGACTTTTGGGGAACTATTAGTAATAACTATCCCAAAACAGAGAGAATCAAATTCATAAAGAAAACAGTTTGGATTCTTCCGCGTATCGTGAGGCAAACACCTATTTCTGGAGTTCTTACCTTCTACACGGATGCAAACAAATCAGGTAAGGCAGGGTATAAATCAGGAAATATAAATAAAGTTGTTCAAAGCCCTTACAACTCCGTACAAAAGGCAGAGTTATATGCCATTCTCATGGTACTTAAAGACTTTACCGAGCCTCTCAATATAGTCATGGATTCTCAGTATGCAGAAAGAGTTGTCTTGCACATTGAGACTGTAGAATTTATTCCTGATAGTACAGAATTAACCTCATTGTTTTTACAATTACAGGAAACCATCAGAAACAGGACTCATCCTATATATAAATATAACACACATCAGATCCCATACAGGTCTGCCAGGTCCTCTGGCACAAGGCAATGATGAAATTGATTGTTTATTAATAGGCAATGTGTTGGCAGCTTCAGAATTTCATAAGAAACACCATGTTAACAACAAAGGTTTAAAGAATGATTTTTCTATCATATCACCTGGCAACAAGCCAAAGAAATAGTAAGAAATTGCCCCACTTGCTCATTCTACAATCAAACTCTGTTACCGGCAGGTTGTAATCCTAAAGATAATCACAGAAATGAACTTTTGCAAATGGATGTATTTCACTTCCAAGAATTTGGCAGTTTGAAATATGTACACCATACCATAGACACGTTCTCAGGCTTCCAATGGGCTATTGCCCTCAGCTCTGAAAAAGCTGATTCTGTTATTACACACCTCTTAGAGGTGATGGCTGTTATGTGTATACCTAAAACAATAAAAACTGACAATGCTCCAGCATGTCTCCAGTAAATTGGAACAATTTTTCAAATATTATAATAGAAAACATGTAACTGGTATACCTTACAATCCCACAGGACAAGCAGTGATTGAAAGATCTAACCGAACCTTTAAAGAGATGCTTCATAAACAGCCAGGGGGAACAAAGACCCCCAAACACAGGTTACATAATGCTTTACTAACATTGAATTTTCTTAACGCTGATGAAAAAGGACAAACTGCAGCAGAAAGACACTGGACTATAGTCTCTATAGAGAAGACTTCTGAACTGAACCAACCAGTGTATTTTGAGGATGTTATGGCCTCAGTCTGGAAACCAGGATATGTGTTATGTTGGGGAAGGGGTTATGCTTTTTTTTCCACAGGAGAAGAAAAACTTTGGGTTCCATCGAAATTAATTTAGATTCTATCAGAACAGAAGACATCTCAGGAAGAGGAAAGATAACAGCTCATCTACAAAATCATATTCTACAATGGGTAAAGTGACCTCCTAAAAGGAAATAGAAGTGTTTTGTTTTTTGTCTACACAGGTAAACTCAGCAAAGAATACTGGACATATAGATTCCTGAAGAAGAATGAATAGCTACCCTGAGGACCATCAAACAAACAGTAACTCACTGTTTGGTATCAAAGTCTAAACTCACTATATTGTTTTTTATAGTACCATTTTATCTTTGTTTCTTCATATACTTCAGTCCCCATTCATTTAACTGAAGCTGGCTTTGAAGTTGGATTGGCTCTCCTACTCTAAATTCAAACATATTATTTAAATAAAATTTAGAATTTCTATATTTTATCAAAGAGCCATTGATATAAGACAGAAGAAAATAAAATTAGGGACTGTTATCTGTGGATTTCTTTTTCTTAAAATTCTAATTTCCTTCATGTTCACCATGTTCCCTATTGTCACCTCTTCCAGTATGAATACATATAAAAGTTACGATATTTCTTTGTTAACATTAATGTTTGAGTTTTCCAGAAAACAAGGGATTTCGTGAAGCAATCTTCAACTGCTTCATAAAGAGAATGAGGATCCACTTCCTTGACTCCACCTGATTCGACTGGAGGCATCTGTACTGCCCCACATCATCGACTCCACCTGTCAAGCACCATCCTGAAACTGGCTTAGAACTACATCACTCAACACAACTCCGGACCAAGGAACTGAAACAGCACATCTTCTACAATCTGGCCTGAGCTTCAGATGAGAGCTTCAATCAACACTAGAACTCCAGTCAGGAACTTCAATCAAGCATCTTCTGCCATACGGAGACTGTCTGATCTACTGAAGATTTTGTTACACTAACATTTTTCTTCTCACAGGTCCCCATGAGATTGTCATCGTCCCATCTCAGCAGGAAGTAGTTTTGAGAATTCCACGCCCTCTCTCCCTACTATTGATATTATAGGATAGTTTACACCTGTTAGTATTAGTTTTCAATTATTTTAGAGTTGGGATTGGAAAGAGGTATTCAGACTTGGGTGTTTCTTTCAGATAAATTTAGATTTAGATGGGATAGATGTTTGATACATTTTGTTCATTGACACAAGTTAGTTGTTTTAAGTTTAAATATTCTTTTTAGACTAAAAGAGGAATTGTAGGAGGAAAACAGAACTCCGCCATTAGCCATGTGACTTATTAGAGGCACATACAGATGAGGTAATAAAAGGGCAGTTTACCACACCGCTAAACACACCCACTTTAGGCATGACTAAAGACGTATATGGACATAGGCGGTGAACTACGTCACTAGACAGGCCCACTTTTGGGCATGGCTAGGGGCGTTATGGAGGAAGGTATAAAAGATTGAACAACGGAAGTCTCTCTCTCTCTTTTTCCGGCTTTCCAGCTTCCAGTTTGGCGGTGGAAAACTACTCGGCTCATTTGGGTTACTTGTTTGGTCTTTTGTGAGTAATTTCTACAATAAATACTTATTTTTACTTTCAGTAAGTGTGCCATTTATCGTTGTAGCATCAGAGGACTTACCCTCTCTTTGGAGCAGATGAAAGGAGAAGGAGTGGGGGGAATGGGAGGAGAAGAGGGAGGAGGAACTTGGATTGGAATATAAAAATTAAATTAATAAAATAAAAGCTGAGTAGGATCAAAGTTTGAGGCCAGCATGAACTCCATGAGATCCTGTCTCAATGAAGAACAAGAAAACACATTGCAGGGTTTCGCAGCACATAGTGTGCTTTGGATATTTGTTTAAATCCTTTAAGTTACATAGTAGATCTATAACTTTTTGTGCTTAAGATAGCCAAAAAAACTTAAGCAACTCATGACTACAGTCTTCATGTCTTTGTCTTTTATTATATTTTGTTTATTTCCAGGACATCCTGTGGAAGTAGGCTTTTTCCTTCCACCATGTGTGTCCCAGGGATTTAACCCAGGTAATCAGGTTTGGCAATATGTTTCTTTGTCCACTAAGCCATGTATCTGGCCTTGTTTTTATTTCATTATTTTTCGAAGTAACTCACTCAGGCCTGATATTGACTGGAGCCCACACTGGCCTCAGACAAATAGCAGTCTCCTTGCCTTAGCCTCCTGTATGCTGGGATTGAAGGTATCCCTATTGTGAGCTTTATATGGAAGTGGCAAACAACTTGAATGCTAGCGTTTTATAGCCCACACAGTCTGGTGTTTGTCAGGATCTACTGTCTCCTGAGGACTTGCTGCACTCTGTGTGGACACATCTGTAAGGATTGGAGGGAAAACTATATCTAGAAAAGGATTCCAGAGTGGTTAACTCAGGCTTTTCCCTGAGTGATGAGTAGTTTGTGAGAGCTCTAGGAATGCCTAGAGCTCTTTAATCCTCACAGAGATAACAGTTCATGCTAAGCAGGCTTTCCTATAAATATACTCCCTCAATCTCTTTGCATATCATCTGCTAAATTTAGCCACAGATGCTTATGTTACTTTTTTTTTCACCATAGATGGCCTTAAGCAAGGTATTCTGAAGAGGGAAATATACAGGGCAAGCTAGAAATACATTCTAGCTTTATTTCTGATTTTATCTCTGACCTTGGATAACTTATTTCAGCTTCTTGTACTGAAAATATACAATGATTTCACGTCCTGCCATAAAATGAAAGTGAGAAAACTGAAGAGATATAAAAGTTGCCATAGTGGTTGGAACTGCTTTTGTGACAGGGGTCTGGTTATAAGGACACAGGTGTCATTTTTCTTGTTTCTCACCTCCTTTAGGGCCCCAAGTAGGTTAATAACACCTGCATTTCTATAATGTCCCAGAACCTTTAATGTTTCCTGTGCTTTACATAGTGAAACTTTAAAACCTAACAAGACAAAGGTTTAAGATACCATGATAAATGATTTGCCAAAATACATATAATTCATAATAAAAAAAAGAAATGGAATGGTTGAGACAAGGTCTCAAGAATCCCAGGCTGACTGCAAACTTGAATTCCTGATTATCCTGCCTCTATCTGCTAAAATGCCTAGCATTTTATTTTATTTTCATTTGTTTAATCCAAAGGGCCACTCTCACTCCATTACTGTGAACTCACTATGTAACCCAGGCTGACCCCAAAGTCACTGTGATCCTCCTACTTCAGTCTTGAAAAAACTAGGATTTTAAACTCAAATTCAAATCTTACCTCCTGACTTGGGGTCCAGCTTACTGTATTAGCCAACCTCTGATGTTAGCCAGGAGGTGGTGGTACACACACTTAATCCCAGCACTTAGGAGGCAGATGTAGGCAGATCTCTGTGAGTTGGAAACCAGCCTGGTCTACAAGAGATAGTTCCAGCACAGCCTCCAAAGCCACAGAGAAACCTGTCTCAAAAAACAAAGCAATAAAAACCAAACAAACCAAAAAAAAAAATAGCTCCTAATCCAGTTCCTTATTTTAAAGATTTATTTATATGTTCATGTGTGTATATGAATACATGTGATCAGAAGAGAGCTTCAGATCCTCTAGAGCTGGAGTTACCTGTGGTTGTGAGCTGGGAACTGAACTCGGATACTCAGGGACAGCAAGAAATCTACTTAATACCAGGCTGTCTCCTTAGTCCTTATTGTTCCAGTTTCACACTCTGATTTATAATATAGGACTCAAGTGGAAGACCCACTGAAGAATGTTTAATGGGGGCTGGAGAAATGGCTCAGTGGTTAAGAGCACTGGCTGCTCTTCCAAAGGACTCACGTTCAATTCCTTGTACCCACATCCAATACCCTTTCTTGGCCTCTGTAGGCACCGGGCATTCATGTGGTACACAGATACACATGCAAGCAAACAACCATATGCACTAAATAAGTAAAGATAGATCAGATGTCAATAACTTCCTTTAGTGACATAAATTTTAAATATCTTTAAGTACTTCTTCAACTCACTGTTTCTTATATATTTTTCTATGCATTTGGCACCATTAAGTAGATATATCTTTAATTTCAAAATACTGTAAACATTACACAGTTAAGAGACCACAAAGTAAAGACAAGAAAGACAGATGAGTCTGATTATTTTACAGTACAATGGTTTGGCAAATGTCTAGCTATCACGGACCACCCCAGTTGGGTATGGAGGTCCCTAAGATGAGAGTCCTCAAAGACGAGGTGGGTAAGGATTCGGCAGACAAACAGAAACAAACACAGAGGCAGTTTGAATCTGAGTGTATTTTGCAGTTCTCAAGCAAGGCTTCTTGGGTATGTTTTGTGAAACAAACCCAAATTGGTGGCATTATTGTTACTTGGCACAGTAATACAGAAATCTTCTAAGGAACCAAAACATAGACTCATCTAAGGTTAATCAAAACACAGAATCATCCAAAGCTAATGGCATATTTTAAAAATCAAGTTAATAAATTTTTGTGGTCAGTTATTGTTTAACATCTATTACCTAGTTCTTGTGAGTTTTTGAAATATTGAGCTATTTTAACTATTTTAACTCTTTCTTATTAAAAGTATTTATATATATACATATATATGTTATTTTTAAATTTAAATTTAAATTAGAAACAAGGTTGCTTCACATGTCAATTCCAGGTCCCTCTCCGTTTCCCTCTCCTCCTCCCGTGCCCTCCCACCAACCTCATTTCCCCAGGGAGGGTAAGGCCCTCCATGGGGGTGCCCATAGTCTGTCATTTCATCCAGGGCAGGGTCTAGACCCTCTCCCAAGAATTCAGGATGAGAGTGCATCTCTCATTGTTGGATGGGAGTCCAAAGTCCATTTGTATACCCGGGATAAATACTGATCTACTACCCAAGGCTCAACAGATTACCTAGGCCTCCTCACTGACACCCACATTCAGGGGGTCTTGATCAGTCCCATGCTGGATTCCCAGGCATCAGTCTGGGATTCAAGAGCTAACCCTTGTCAGGTCAGCTGTTTCTGGGGTTTAAACCAGCCCAGTCTTAATGCCTTTAGTCATCAGTCCTCCCTCTCTGTCACTGGAATTCTTGAGTTCAGCTCAATGCTCAGCCGTGGGAGTCTGCCTCTGCTTCCATCAACCACTGAACGAAGGTTCTATTTCCCAGACTCTCTGGCCATGGGATTATAGTCTGGCACTCCCCAGATCTATGTCTAAAATCCATATATGAGAGAGTACATGCCATGTTTCTCTTTTTGTGACTGGGTTACCTCGCTCAGGATGGTTTCTTCTAGTGTCATCCATTTGTCTGCAAATTTCAGGATTCCATTGTTTTTTCTGCTGAATAGTACTCCATTGTGTAAATGTACCACATTTTCTCTATCCACTCTTCAGTTGAGGGGCATCTAGGTTGCTTCCAAGTTCTGGCTATTACAAATAATGCTGCTATGAACATAGTGAAACAGACATCCTTGTTGTATGAATGGGCATCTTTTGGATACATGCCTAAGAGTGGAGTTGCTGGGTCTTGTGGTAGGTTTATTCCCATTTTTCTGAGGAATCTCCATACTGATTTCCAAAGTGGCTGTACAAGTTGGCACTCCCACCAGCAGTGGAGGAGTGTTCCCCTTTCACTACAACCTCTCCAGCATAAATTGTCCTTGGTGTTTTTTATTTTAGCCATTCTGACCGGAGTGAGATGGTATCTCAGAGTTGTTTTGATTTGCATTTCCTGGATGGCTAAGGATGTTGAGCACTTTCTCAAGTGCCTCTCAGCCATTTTAGACTCCTCTATTGAAAATTCTCTATTTAGTTCTGTAGCCCACTTTTTAATTGGATCCTTTGGTGTTTTGGAGACTTGCTTCTTGAGTTCTTTGTAAATTTTGGAGATCAGCCCTCTGTCAAAAGCATTCTTTACCAAACACTAAGCCCACTCTTAATGATACACATACAGCTATGTGAAATTTTACTGTTGGGAAAGTTTTTATCAATACTATTTGTCCTTATGTGAATGATGAGAATGATTTGGAAATCACTGGTTTTCCGGAGATGAGGCCATGGCTAGTGACCCCATCTCAGGGAATGGTTCCTTAGCTATTTCTTTCACTTGAAATGTCAATGTAGGCTTTTAGGAACATTTTGTAAATATGAAAAAAGAATAGAAGAACAGAAATTGCCATGAGAACTGCAGCTCAATATTTTTCTCTGTTCCAGGAGACCTCCTTCTTTTGAAGTTATTGCCTCAGTGTGTGCAACTTGTCACACAGAATCTACTGGATTTGGTGTGAAATCTAGTAAAATACATCTGGATTCAGATTTGGACTTCTAAATGTGAATTTCAATTTCCTTGTGTGTAAAATGGGATCAGCTACTAATTTCACAGGTTACAGTAAAAGCTAAATCAATATTGGCATGTGGGTAATGTACAATATGCATGAGGAACTCCCTCTGTGTGTGTGTATGTGTGTGTGTATGCACGCACGCGTGCATGTGTGTGTTGTATTAGTGTTTCATAGAGCAATTAATACAGAATAAATGGAAATGTTATGACATTGGCTGAGGAAAGCTGTTAATATGTTGTGTTTGGAAAATATTAAATGCAGTTTGACTTGCATTAAGGAGGCTGTGAATACCGGAAAGCAACAAACACTGCTTTTACCATGTCTGCATTTTATATGCTAGCCTAAGGCTCACAACATGGAACTTGGTTAATAATTTATTCAACTGAAGGTGTATAAGCTCAGCTCAGAGAAAAAGCAAAAGCCTGAATGCTAAAACCCCTTGCCTGCAAGACATAAACAATATCTACCCTACTCTGAAAGATCCCAAAACAAACTGAGGTATGATTCTTCCAAAGTCTATCCATAGGAACAAATGAGTTCATTATGCTTATCCACAGTCCTAAAGGCAAAAGTATGGGTATGGTTTGAATTTAATTGGTCCCCATAAGCTCACAGGGAGTGGCATTATTAGGAGGTGTGGCCTTGATAGACAGAGCATGTCACTGTGGGAATGGGCTTTGAGGTCGCTTTTGATGTCTGTAGCTCCTGATACCATTGAAATCAATGCCAATGCAAAAGGTCTGGGCTACTACTGGGGCTCATGTTGGTGTCCAAGGGCCAATCTGCTGAGGGGCCATTGTGATCTGAGTTGCCTGCACTGCCACCATAGGCCATGGTGACATCCAGGCCCAAGTTGCTGCTGAGGGCTGTGTTCCTGCTGGGTTCTATGATGATATCTATGCCCTTGTAGCCACAGGGTGGGTAATAGGAGCCATTTGTGCTGAATTCTGAGGCCTATGCTGAGCCTGCCCTTACTCCTCACTGGCCTTGGGATAGCTGGCCCTGATCCTCACTGAACACTGCAGCAGGAGAAAGATGGCCCCACCCCTCACCACAGGAATGGGACAGCTGGCCCTAATGGCATGGGCCTAGGAGAGATGTCTCTGCCCCTTTCCTGAGGGGGCAGTCCCAGTTGCCCTGACCTACCAGCTCAGCTATCACTCAGACCCACATTCTCGGGTTTGAATTGGCCCACCTAACATCTACCCCATCTATGATCTGTTGGAGTTTTTGAAGGGATCGGTTCTACAGAATGATAATTTCAGGATCTCTAGGACTTGGGGCAACAGCAGAATATCTAAGAGGAGTTTTTGTGAGGGTTCAGTGATGATGGCATGCCAGAGGCCTTGAAACAGACGAATGACTCATTGAAATGAACGTCTTGTGGGTGGTACTGATTGGACAACAGAGTACATTGTGTGACACACTGTGGCTCCCAATGACACTAGGATGAATGAAGAGGAGCTGGAGAGATGGAGTAGTGAGGTGTGGCTCATTCATTTGTTTTGTTTCTAATTAATTGGGGGGGCATGCTGCAGGGGTAAGGGAAGGCTATGGAGGGACTGGAAAGTGAGTGGAATTAGGATGCATGATGTGAAATTCCCAAAGAATCTATAAATAATTATGTTAAAAATTAATCTTACATTCTTTAAAAACTAAAATAAAAATCATATGAACACCATAAGGGGAGGGAGTAACATTAAAGCAACCACACAGGAAGGTCTCCTCTCATCAGGAATGTTGGTTCCCTTCATCCTCTGGTCCCTTCCCCAATGCCACATGAAATAGGACAGAATTACATACAACTGTTTAGGAAAGTGACTCAGGTGAGGGTCCCATCTTCCTCCCTGCCCCCTCTTTCTATGAGGAAAAGTAAATAGTGAGTAGGCTTAGCTGTGACTGTTTTATGAGCAGATTCAGCATCAGGGAAGATGGCAGCTGTTTGGCTTGTAACCCTGTAGAGCAGTTCTTCAACAGAAAACAAAGAACCTTCTCATGGATGGAGACACTGCCTGTCAGTGTCCATCGACTACTTGTTTTTTTTGTTTGTTTGTTTGTTTGTTTGTTTTTTGTTTTTTTCAAGACAGGGCTTCTCTGTATTGTTTTGGAGGCTGTCCTGGAACTCGCTCGGTAGACCAGGCTGGCCTCAAACTCACAGAGATCCGCCTGCCTCTGCCTCCCGAGTGCTGGGATTAAAGGCGTGCACTACCAACGCCTGGCTACTTGTTGTTTTATACCAGCTATATGCAAGGAGCAATGAGCGCCCTTGCATGACAAAGGGCGACCAATGTTGGCTTGTCTAAGTGTCCTTCCACCTACACACAGCAGCCCAGACCTGTTCAGGCAGTGAATCCTGAGCGCTAAGCACTGCCCAGGCTGCTTGCCAAAGGCCCAGCCTGACTCTAGTGTGGGGCTTAAGAAAATCTATGTGAAATCCGTCACCCAGCTTCTACAAGTTTATTCATCCACTAAAGCATGGAAGAAAGGAAAACTAATTTTGATCAATTGTAAGTCCTAGGTAGCAATGAAGGATTTAAATAAAGCAATTGCTTGCTTTCTAAACTACAAAACAAACAAACAAAAACATGAGGGTTAAGGGTTGACCATGATTTTTAAGAAAATTATTAAATTTATTGATTGATTAATTCATTGATTGGTTGATTGTTGGGGAGGCTGCTGAGGTATTCATGTGGTAATCAGGAAAATGCACAGGAACTAGTTCCCTCATTCAAGCACATAGGCCCTGGGTCATCAGGCTTGGCAGTGTGCATCTTTACTAAGCCATTTTGTTGGCCCTTCCTGCTCTTTTCTTTTACTTTGCCGCCTCCAACAATCTCATTTGCTAAATAACTCTTCAATCCACACTCTTCTTTGCGTCTACATTGCAAGTACTAGTCCAAGGAGGTATCATCGTTTGTCAGTTTCCTTACATTTATTCTGACCCTCCTTCTCATCAGAGATCCTCCAAAAGGCAGACTTTGTCCTGCCCCCACCACCACTCCACCCTTGCTGCCTAAACACCTTGGTTGGTTTCTTTTTGTTCCCATGATTAAGATCAAAACACATAGCATGTCTGTGATAGTTAATCAACTTTATAGGACCTAGAATTACTCTGAAAGCAAATCTCTGGCATGTCTGTGAGGAATTTCTAGACTGAGTTAAGTGAAGGGAAAGGGACCCATGCTAAATGTAGGTAGCACCATTCCTTGGCCTGGAGTCTCAGACTACACAGAAAGGAGAAAGGGAGGTAAAGGCAGCATTCACTTCCCTCCACTTCCTGGCTGTGATCTCAGTGTGAAAGCAGCCTTGCTATATTCTTGAACTGCTGCAGCTGTCCCTTGGGGGCCATGATAAACTGTATCCTTTCTTAAACTATAGGCCAAAATAAAGCCTCCCACACCTAGATTGCTACTTCTCAGGCTTTTGACCACAGCAACAAGAAAAGTAACTAACACAATGGCTTAAAAGGCAGAATGTTCTCAATTACTACAGTGTGCTCTTAGTTACCAACAATATAAATTGATTCTAGCTGATTTAAACAGCAAAGTAATACACTGAATAAAAAAGAGATTTCCTAGGACCAATGAGATAGGTAGTTCAGTCTTAAAGCCATTTGCTGACAAGACTCACAGTGCCAGCCACAAAATGAGAGAAAAGAAGCCGCTCCTACAAGTTGTCCTATGACCTCCATGCACATATTCACACATGTACACAGACAACACACTCACACACAAAATAAATAAAATGTAAGAGAGAGAGAGATTACCAGTATGAATAAGTGACCCAACTAAGACAACTGGAGCCAGGCTGAGGAAATGGTTGCCACAGCATGCCTTGCAAACACACTGGAAACATCTGCAGATGCCACTGCCACACCCTTCAAGAGCAGAAGAGAGCTTACTATGTATTTCTGGCTGAAGGCCCAGACATTAATCAGGGACACTGGGTTGACTGAAGCCAAGCCAGGTGCCCACACTTCACTATCTGCCCACTGGGTGGCTGCAATAAGGCTGCTGGCCTTCAATCAAGAATCAAAGTGAGGAGTTTCCCAAACACAGGAGGTGTCTGAAATGCTGAGCAGCACTCCTCCCCAGAAGGAAGACACAAATAGAAGTGGGGAGGCCAAGTTCCTTATCCTAGGACCCACGACTTTGCGTTAGCCCCCAGCTCTATTCCATTCTTCCTTCGCCCATCCCCACATTCCAGCTGCCCTTTTCTCAAGCACTTTCCCTACATGAAAGGCCCTTTCTGCTGCCCAAAATATTGCTTTTACCTCCAGTAGCCCTCTCCACTTCTTGTCTGAGCCAATATCAGAGTACTGTCAGAAAGGATGGCACAGGCATGGGTGAGTTCAGTGAAGGAACATTCATTGATGGAAGAACCAGGCATCCTGAGCTAGGAGGAGTAAGAAGATGACTGGGGCCCCAAAGGATATTGCCATTAAAAGAAAAGAAATCAGTAGAACCTTCGATCAGAAAGAAAAGAACCTGGTTTCTCTTTGTCTACCTGCCCCTTGTCTCCTGATGCATGTCTCTTTTGTCAAACTCAGTATGAAGCTACAGGAGCAAGGCAATATTAAGAAAATGGTGGGTGATTCCGAAAACTCTAATAAAAATGAACCTGTAAGCCAGTGTTCTTTGTTTTACTGTAAGTCTCTGTCTTGGTTGGCTTTAACTCAACACAGCATAGAGTCATCTAAGAGGAGAACTCAATTAAGGGCTTTGCCTAGATCAGATCAGCCTGTGGGCATGTTGTGGGGGATTGTCTTGGCTATTAATTAATGTAGGACAAATTCTTTCCTGGACTGATGGTCCAGAACTGTGTAAATAGCTAGATAACTAAAATATATAAGTAAATAAATAAACAAAATCTAGCTAAGCATAATCCTATCCTTGAGTCAGCTAGAAAGCAGCATCCTTCATGATTCCTGCTGTACTTCTTGATTCAAAAAATAGTGTAGAGATCAGCTTCCAAAGCCACTACGATAAACAAACACATGATGGGAGATTGGAAAGACTGTCACTGGTATGAGAGAAGGCAGTGGTTGATAGAGGATCAGGCCATTGCCCAGAGAGGATGTCTGGTTTTTTTTCTGATTTTCTTTTGCCAGGGAGATAACAAGGGTGGAGGGCAGATATGGTAGGACTGGGAAATGAGTGGGATTGGGGTGCATGATACTAAATTCCCAAAGAATCAATAAAAAGTATGTTTTATTTACAAAAGAAGTAAATTTATGTATTAGTAACCAAGTATGTTTGCCTAACAAAAGCATAGTTTTAAAATTTTAGGGTGTAAAGGTGACTAAGAAGACATTAGACTTCCACTTCTGGCACCTGTGTGCACATACACACATGTGCACACACATATATGAACACATACACTACATACATAAAGTAAGATAAGGATCTCAGTTGATATCTCTTGAGCTTTTGAAGATATGTACAATGTGGAACAATATGCTTAAGGGGTCACATTAATGCTGGGTGCAGTGGCACACCTCAAACCACCCAGGATTAAAAAAGCAATTAACCCTCTTCAAGCATGGTGGCAAAAATGTAAGCTTAGCACTAATGAAGCAGAGTCAGGAGAATTATTAGAAGTTCAAGGCCAGCCCAAAGTACATATGGAATTCTGTGTTACCAAGGGCTATTGGAAAAACCTTGTCTTAACCATCCAACCCTCTGCCATATCTAATTTTTGAGCAATTTTTAGGGGAAATGTTCCCTGCATCTGTTAGCCATGTTGTTTCTCAGTTTGATTTCTTCGTATACACACTAACATGTCTTCTGGTTTCAAGACTGCTCAGATTTTGCCTACATTAAACTCAAATGCTACTGATTTACTTTTATTTTACCAATAACTACTCTTGCTCAGTTAGCTTTCCTAGTTATTTATAGCTAACCTCTGGATCCTGGGGACGCCCAGGAGCTAGAGGAAGGGGCTGCCGCCTACCTTCGGGCGCGAGGTCTCTCTGGCCACAAGACCTCCTGCCTACGATCTTTCCTTGCTCCCTGATCTTCCTCAACCTTTTGCTCCCAAATACTCCTCCACTGTTGATTCTCTTGCCTCCTCTCTCGTTCAAGCTCTCAGCGACAAGTTTTCACAGCTCCTCTCCTCGGCATCACGTAAACTCCAGTTCCCTCTTTTTGACCCTGAAGGGTAGGGAGCTGAACCGCCTCTCCCTGCTAGACCTCTTCCTGCGGCACAGGGGCAACCACGCACTAGACAGGCGGCTCGAGCCGAAGAAGCGGCTCGCCAAAATCCTGATCCCGATGATAGAGCGGGCCTTGGCTATAGCCCACCTGCTCAAAATTTTCAGTAGTGGTCACTACCTCCCCTGCACCCCCCCCACAGATAAAATCACCTGGATAAATGATGATCCTGTCTGGGTAGGGCAATAGCCTCTAGTCAAAGAAAAATTAGAAGCAGCCCAGCAGCTTGTGCAGGAGCAATTCAATGCTGGCCATATAGAACTCTCCACATCTCCTTGGAATACCCCTATTTTCGTTATCAAAAAGAAATCAGGCTTGTGGATGCTTTATTTTTGGAAGCTACAGATGTAGTTTTTCTGGATGAATTGTTTTTCTTATAGATGTATCGATGTGGTATGCTTTTGTATTGATCTGCAGGGTAATTTGAATTTTATTTTTACAAACAGTTTTTCAATCAAATTCTATATTTGATACAATGTGTTAAAGGTAGATCAGCCTAGAGTCATGCAGCTAACAGCTGGGACCCCTGAGTGTCTAGGAGTCCTTAGAGGCTAGGTGGCCTCTCTTGGTAGTCCCTGTGGTGGTAGCGCTGGCTGGTCACAGGAACGAACCTTCAGGGCCCTCAACATTGCCCTGACCTCTTGGATTGTTACAAGGATTTTTCATGGGCATTTTGCTATACAGGCAGTGGACAATCCCAGTGGCCCCAGACATGCCATAAGCAACCTTTCTGTGACCTCTCCCTAACTCAGTTTTCACACCTATTAAAAAAAGGAATGTTACACTCCCTTGGTGTTCGTATGCCTCATTTGCAAATGCAAACATTTTGTTTATGTTTTAAACCCTTCCCCAAAGTAACCGTGCTGGCTGGCTCACCATAGACAGTACACGTGTAGCTCTGTCATGGGCATCCTGTGGCAGGTGTGCTGATCCTGTAAATTGCACTGATATTGTGACAGTTTTCTTTATCACATCCAGCAATGAATCTGCTGTACTCAATTGAAGTGATTGTAAACAGACTCGCAGTGGCAGGAGTGATGTGGATCTGGGACATTGCCTTGCTTCTACGATCCTAACACATTTCAGTATTATATGCTAGAGTGTGCGGACCAGACTCTGCTCTCTCGAGCTCTGTGGACTGGCCTTGTCTGACTTTCCAATAAAAAGTTTTCCACCTCTGAACAGCATGCTCTTTAAGACCTAAAGAGAAGGCTTGAATGTAAACGTATTAGTTAGGAGTCTTTGTGGCACTTTTGGTCTGTTTAGTTTTCTTGTGATCGGTCAGGCCCCCAGAAGTATGTCATTCTAGTTCCATGTGGCCTTTGTCAGCTTGGACAGCATCTGAATGGCCCAACTAGTGTTACCAGGCCATCGCTGCATTTCTTTAGCCAATCCTGAACTTAAAGCTGTGAGGGCACTGCTGTGTCACACTGTCGTTTATGATACATCCATGGGTGGCAGGGGCACCTGAAGCCTTGTGACCCTGCTGGGTTCTAAGTCCATGCTCTATTCAGCCCCATACAAACTGTCTGTGGTCAGGGTATCCAGTGTCTGAAACTAAAGGAGCTTTTACACTCAAACCGCTGTATGTGTGTGTATGTATGTGTGTGTATGTGTATGTGTGGTCAGTGCCATTACAGAGCCTTCACTTTGTGTCTTCGGATTTGTTCTGCCATTTTATTGTCTCTCAAGTTGAATGTATCGGCTTAGCCAAACCACTACAGAAGGTGGTTTCTAAAAACCTTTCAGACAGATGCATAAAAGCTACCTCTAACTTCTCTTTGGTTTGTGTTTGATCAGTCTAACTCTTTACAGTTAGCACAACAAGCTCATAGATTACATCACCTTAATTCACAAACACTTAGGCTACAATATTCCATCACTCGTGAACAGGCTCGAGAGATAGTTAAATCGTGCAAAGCTTGCCTCTCCCTTTTGCCTGAGCCTCATACAGGAGTCAACCCCCGTGGTCTTCTGCCTGGTGAGCTTTGGCAATTGGATGTTACTCATTATTCTGCCTTTGGCAATCTTAAATATATTCATGTTATGGTGGATACCGTTAGTGGCTTTGTTTGTGCCTCTCTCCAAACAGGAGAGGCCACCAAGGACGTTATTGCCCATATTTTACATTGTTTTACTATTATTCCTGTCCCTATCGCCATTAAAACTGACAATGGCCCAGGGTACATTAGTTCTAAATTTAAGGATTTTTGTAAAAAATTGGCATTACCCACAAAACAGGAATTCCCCTCAACCCTCAAGGACAGGGAGTTGTAGAGCGAGCTAATCAGACCTTAAAAAATATGCTCTTTAAGCTTTCTTCCGAAAGCAAAACCCGGTACGCTCGCAAAGGCAAGCATCGCCTACTTTTAAATCATGCACTTTTTGTGCTCAACTTTCTCTCTCTGAACAACAGTGGCCGATCAGCTGCTGATCAGCTCTGACACCCTTCCTCCCATAAAAACTTTCAGCAGGTACTCTGGAAGGATGTGCACACGAGCCAATGGCTTGGTCCTCACCCAGTCCTTATCTGGGGAAAAGAACATGCTTGCGTTCATAACACCAGCAATTGAGAAACACGCTGGCTTCCAGACAAACTGGTCAAGCTTTATAACCCTCCCAGGGAAAGAGCCCCTGAGGAATCTCTTGTTTTCTCTTTCAGATGCTGTTGATAACAAAACTCCCAGTGAAGATGACACCGCATCGCCTGCCACTTCTTCCATTTCTCCTTTTGATTTTTAGTTTCCCTCCTCTTCCTGGGACCTCATAAATGTAAAGCGATTTAATCCCCCTGCCAGACGGCTTAATTCTGGCCCACCACCACTTAATCCCCTTTGTTCATGCAGTTGGTGCAACCTCCTCCATATCCAGTTTACAGCTACAGGAAAAAGGTTCCTCTGGCCGGGCGGTGGTGGCGCACGCCTTTAATCCCAGCACTCGGGAGGCAGAGGCAGGCGGATCTCTGTGAGTTCGAGGCCAGCCTGGTCTACAAAGTGAGTTCCAGGACAGCCTCCAAAGCCACAGAGAAACCCTGTCTCAAAAACCAAAAAAAAAAAAAAAAAAGGTTCCTCTGGGAAGGTTCCCGAGGCGCTCACTGGGGTCTACGCCTATATGTTTCTGGCACAGACCCAGGCCTCACCTTTTCCATTAGACTTTTGAAAGAAATCCCTTCCTTTCGCCCTATTGCTGTTGGCCCCAATCCTTTTTTATACCCCTCTGGTGGTGGCTCATTCCTACCCAAGGCTGCCACCCCTCACCCTCTTCCTAATCTCCATTCTCCAGCTCCTGCTGCCGCTACCACTGCTTATCAACCCACCATGCCCGCTGGTCCAGTCTCCACCGCGGACCTCATCCTTCAGATGGTCAACGCCTCAGCCCAGGCACTCTCCAACACCACCTATGAGCGCTGCTGGA